CAGTACAGAAGGTTTTATTTCATATTATGATTGTGAATATCGGGCAGTTATCTTGATTTATTATAACAGCATTCTTGCTGGCAGTTTATCTTCACTTGCCAATAGTGGCTTTAGCTACCCAGCAAAGTTTTTAAACAGTTTTTAAATAATAGCAAGTGACAGCTCTCATTCTGTAGAGTGCTTTGATTTGGGAATAAAAGCTTCAAATTGATTCGATATCAAATGAACCTACTCTACTCTAGTGCATGCAGTGCAAACCAGCATATTCGGGGATCAAGGCTAGAGGATAGCTTGATATTATGAGCCAGATGCTGCACAACAACACCAGCCATGCAATATATGGGGGTATAGTTACCACACCTCCCAGATGGTGGGTGTGGTAGACTTGCTGCTTCTTGTGATGGCTTGCTTCTGTTCAACATGGCTTGGGTTTTGCATGCAGTAGAGCCAAGTGGTGGTCCCTAAACATTAGTTATACCTCAGGATTATCAGTAGTGCAGAAAAGTCTGCAGATTTATAGCTTGCGTTTGGTAACAGGAGAGATCAGAATTGTATCGTATCTTTAATTACTCGTAGGCATGCTGGGACAGGAAAACTACTGGATTCTTTTTGAAAACAAGTTATGATTATGAGTATCTCTAAAGTGGATTCAGAAGTTACTACTGCTTTGTGACATAGAGGGCATGGCTGAGTTAGATTGCAGTTTTGCATTTCAGAGTGCTGCATCTTGTTCCTTCTTGAAATCACATCATAATTGATGAATAAGGATTCAGACTTCACATTTTTACCATCATTTTATGATTCTGTGCCTATTACATTTAATATAAGCCTTCATTCTCACTTAATTCACTGATTTTTTTTTCTAGGTTTAGCTTCAGTCTAGTGTGTAGATGACTGTTATTAAAAGCCCATCGAGGCAACAGATATAAAATGTATAATAATGGACAGTCTTTGTCAAAAAGACTGAAAACAGTGAATCAAAATCCTGGAAATAAAAGAGATTCCTTACTTGTTGCAGAAACCTGTTTTCTAGAAAAAATTATCAGGCCTTTTTATCAGATTTTAGATGGAGTCTTAAGAGGCAGCATTTCATAAAAATGCTGTTTTAATGCAGCTTCTTGTAACACACAAAGGCAATACAAAATTATCAATGTAAAAAATATGTTAGGATCTGAAATGAATGCAGTGAATTACACTGTTACTGCAGTAGAAATACTGGGGGGTGGGGGGGTTTCCCCTAAAGTCCAGTTTGCACATCTAGGGCAAATGAAGGAATGCAATATATATAGATATAACGCTGGGAAATCCAAAGGGCCACTTTGAATAACCACAGCATTCATATAATCAGCAGCTAATGAAGTGATCCTTTATGAACAGAGGGAAAAAAATCCAGCTATTACTTTACATCTTGGCACTATAATTTAGGGCAGTGGTTCTTAACCTGGGCGATATTGCCCCCCAGGGGGCGATTTCATTTTTCAAGGGGGCGATGGAATGAAAAGGGGCAACGTGGGGGCGAAGGAATGAAAAGGGGGCGATATGGGGGTGATGGAGCGAGAGGTTTTGGGGACACCTTTGAGATTTTTTCGTACAATGAATCGCTGTATATCTGTCATACCAAAACATCAGATCGCTCACTATTAGTGGATTGAGTTGTGTTTTTAAATGTTCCTCCAGCTAGCATCAGTACAGAACGCCGTACATATATGAAGACACATTGCTTATCTTCATGCGTGTTGCGCAGCAGCCTCTACCCATACAGTGGCGCGCCATTGGCCAGAATATGGGAGATATGGGGAAAAGACTGGAAATAAATTATTTGCATTGATATATCTTGATGACAATTTTAAAGAAAACAAAAAAAGTGTTTGCATAAATTGAAGAATTATTTCCTATGTTGTGATTGAGAAGTTATGTTAGGGGAGGGGGGCGATGACAACTTTCTCATTGGCTCAAGGGGGCGATTTGTTCAAAAAGGTTAAGAACCACTGATTTAGGGTGTCCAGTTTGAACAAAATCATAGCTATCAGATAATGGTTATCTTTTCTCATTTGTGGTCTTGAAGCACGAAATAGAAGGCTCAAACTCCAATTTGCTGGGATTTTGTGCAGATCAGCAATGTATTTATGTTTATTTTATAATTGCCGTAAAATAATATATGTTAATATATTTATACAGGTTCTGAAATAACTACTGTTTTTCTTGGGAGGATTTCCCCCCCCCCTCCATGTTTGCTTGGAACATTCCATCCAGTATCAAGCACAGATATAGTTTCTTGTTCCAGATATATGTATGTGAATGAATTGAAGGATAGGCTAAATTCAAAGTAGAACGTGAGTTGGGAAGAGATGGAAACCCTACTACTCTTCCATATTTGATTTGCAAGGACTTGTATTTGTATATTGATCCCTTAAGATCAGATGTTAAGAGGAGTGGCTACTATAGAAATTCCTTTTTGTGCTTTGCCCTCTATGATGACCAAAAACATTTAGAGGGCATCAGTGGGCCTGTACTTTCTCTGAATATTATCAGGAATATTATCAATCACCTCTATGGTGCAGACTTGTCTGTAGATGGTGAAGAATTACTGTACGTGCTATGCTGGGTCATGTTGATAAACTAGCTGCAGAAGATGGACAAAGATTAAGTTCATCTGCATCTACATTTGGGCAGGACCATTTGCAGAAATGAAGTGTTTAATTATTCTATTACCCAATTACTGAGTTGGCTGGCTATTCCTTTGTGATTTCCCAGGAACAGCAGTATCAAGAAAATTCATGTAGGAAATTGTGGTTTAGAAAATAAGGAGTAGGGAATTTCTAGAAAAATGGTGACTTTTAGAGGCCTGAGCAAACTGGGAATATTTGAGTTTGGATGATAACCGGCTTGGTCACATGAGAGGAAGAACGTTAAATAATATTAAGAGAAATAAAATCCGGGTGATGTTTATAGTTTCAGAGAAATGCTAAATTTGAATGCTTGCATATCCTGCTTGTTCACAGTGACAAAAATTCCAGGTGAGGAAAAGTGAAACAATATATTGTTTTACAGCCTGAATCATTTGATGAAAACAGGGAATATTGAATAACGAGGGGAAAATGGGAGACTTTCTAATATTATTCATGCCTGCTCAGGTTCCAGTAAAAATGCTGGATCTTACCGTGTTTCCCCAAAAATAAGACCTGGTCTTATTTTTTTTTTTTTTTGCCTGCAATAGAGGCACCAGGTCTTAGTTTTTGGTAGTAACTTTTCCATGGTCTCACCTCGCCTCGGCAGCACCGACAGCCCTGCCCAGTCAGCCCACTTCTTCTGCGGCCGAAGGAAATGCCTCTGCAGTTGAGAATAGAGCTCCGGCTTGACGCATGTGGTGCCCCCCCAGCCTGCATTTCACCGTCAAAGACCTTTCCGGAAGGCCTCTGACAGCAAAATGCAAGCCAGGGGGCACCACAGAAGAAGTGGGCAGGCAAGGCAGGTGTCAATTCATGGGAGGCCTGGCTGCAACGAACGGTACGGGGCGCATGGGGTAGCTCCATCCCCCCACCCCTGCCCTAGCTTGATATTTAGACATGTACCTCGCCCCCAAACTAGGGCTTATATTAGGCCTATCCCCCAAAATCAAGCTAGGGTTTATTTTCGGGGTAGGTCTTACTTTTGGAGAAACACAGTAGTTTGTCTGTAAGACTGTTAGACCATTGAACTGAATGCCAGTAGTATTAAACATTCGCTCTACTGTCACATTGCCTGTCTGTTCTCTCTTCAGTTTATTTATTTATTTATTTATTTATTTATTTATTTATTTATGATATACCGCTTTAAGTGCAAGCACTCTCTAAGCGGTGTACACCAGTAAGCAATGTATATATATATTTACATTGCCCCCAACAATCTGGGTCCTTATTTTACCTACCCCGGAAGGATGGAAGGCTGAGTCAACCTTGAGCCGGTGAGATTTGAATCGCTGACCTGCTGAACACAGTCAGCTAAAGTGGCCTGCAGTACTGCACTCTAACTGCTGCGCCACCTCGGCTCTTTGTTCAGTTCTTTGGGTTTCCTGTGTGCTACCAAGAAAAAAACTGAGCTGTGGATCTTCGGGCCAACCTCCTCCTATTCATTTTCTGTGCATTTTTCTCAGCTGGTTTATCAGGTTACTTATTGTATGCTTTCTCTCCTCATCCTTGTCTTGTCATTTATGAAGTAACACAGTTCTCTTCTTTTTCCTATAAAGTAGTCTGCTAGGCCAGTTTTAGGTTATTCCAAGGTAAAATTGCTATAAACTAACAAATATTTATTAAGGAATGGGGCTTTTTTAGGCTCATTGGAGATTTAATGCTATAATTGGTTTGAATTTAAGATGGCAGACTTCGTTGTAATAAGCTGATATTTAAGTGTAACACGATTGTAAACAATCCAGCACTATTTGTATTTTCTTCTTTGCTTGTATATACATCAGTTCCTGTTTGTAAAGGATGGATAGATGTGTCTGATTCAGCAAGCTTGCTGCATCATTTTTACTAGAGAATAAAACTGGCACTGCAAAAGAAAGTTGCTTGATACTAAAGATGTGGAATCGTGATGAAACATTTAGAAAGTGTTTGATGTAATTTCCCTAGCTAATGTGTGGAACATGAAGAACACAAGTAGTCCTTGTTTAGCCATCACAATCTTGGGGAAGGGAGAGGTAATTTGATAGTTAAGCAAAGCAGTCACTAAAACTACAACTGTTTTTGATGCTGCTTCAGCTTTCCTTTGCTTTACAGACCTGCAAAGGTCATAACTATGAGGAATGATTGTAAAGTTACTTTTTTTATCACTGTTGTAACTGCTAAATGAGGACTACTTGCAGTCGGTTGAATATGAGAGTGAAGTTTAGGATTCCAGAATACTTTTGAGCATCTCCCTCTTTTTGAGCTTTTATTGGTATAAAAAGGGTGAGATGGGTGGCAAACACATTTGATAAATGAATACATATTTATTAAAACACCTTGTTTCTTTAATTTCAGATTTAATTCAATGCACAAATGAGATGAATGTGAATATTCCACAGTTAGCAGATACGCTTTTTGAGAGGACGGCAAACAGTAGCTGGGTAGTAGTGTTCAAAGCTCTAATTACAACACACCACCTCATGATGTATGGAAATGAGGTAAGAAAGCAGCATTTTGCAATACATTTCAAAAGGAGAGGGTTTGCAAAATCAGTGCCTGGTGAATTTCCAAAAGAGGCATGGCGGAGGCTTCAAAAACCAGGAGGAATTGCATATGTAGCTCCTTATTAGAAAGCAAATACTGGCATAGAAAGTTATTTTGTTAGTTTCTCCCTCTCCCCCCCCCCCCCGAAATTAGCAAATGTGTTAAATGAACTACAAGTGCCGGTATAATTTCTATAAATCCTGCATTGTGAGATTCTGCCTGACAGGTTTTATTTTTGCCTTTAAAGGTTCCAAGGATTCTATTGCCCACTTGCCATTTTAACAACATCATGCCTGTTTCAAACTTCTTGGGGAATCTGAATGAGAATGAGTTGAATACACATCCCAAGCTCACTTTGTGGTGGAATTGAACAATGCACTCTCCATTGTTGTCTGGTTAACAGTCCTTTATTCCCAAAGTGTGTGTGTATATGCTATTTTTAGAAGACATATTTGTCATAAAATCTATCAGCTCCACTCTTAGCATGCAAAAATATCTCCCCCTGATTTGAAAAACAGAGTGGAATTTGCTTTACAGAAGACTGATTTTTACAGGACCAAGGCAATCTTACCTCAAATCCTGAAGTGGTTTATAGCGTTCAGTCATGCAGGAAGCTAATAGAATGGAAACTAAAGCTAAAAAATATATCATATCTTAGAATAGGAAGAATCCCAAAGGACAATGAGATAATAACTTGTTAGTTGTGTCAGCTTGCGGCAATTAAAGCATTAGGAGTAAAACGTCTTTGCCTTGGATTTGTACTAAGTCTATTTTCCTACTATGCGTAGATGTAAATCTTGCTTAATTGTCGTGAGAATAATCTCACAATAGTATAGTATATAGTATAAAGAATAGTATTCTTTATAATCATCATATGATGAAAGGCATGCAAAATGAGCAATCTGCAGTGGTGTAATATTTGAGTTTTGCTTCCATTCCCCTTTTCCATGGAACCATTTGTAAATCAGAGTTGCTATGAAATACATTGCATATCAGTTTCTCTTACATCATTCTGCTCCGGTTTTATCTCTCTGGTTAGTGATTGCAAAATTGTAACTATTAATAGATATAATTGGCTTGCCTTAGTAAAAACAAGAAATAGTTCTTGTTTATGTGATCAAGGAACTACAGGTGGTCCTTGATGTACAACAGTTTACTTAGTGACTGTTTAAAGTTACAACGGCACTGAAAAAAGTGACTTATAACCATTTTTCATAGTTACAACTTTTGCAGCATCCCCATGATCATGTGATCGAAATTCAGACAGCAATTGGTTCTTACTTACGATCATTGCAGTGTCCCAAGTCATGTGACCACTTTTTGCAACCTTCTGATAAGCAAAGTCAATAGGGAAGCCAGATTCACTTAACAACTGTGGCAAGAAATGTCGTAAAATGGGCCTAAACTCACTTAACAAATTCTCATTTGACAAACATAAATTTTGCACTCAATTGTCATAAGTTGAGGACTATCTGTATTTCATGTGTCACTTGCTTAGAAATTAGCAGTATAAAATATTTCTATGGAAAGATAATAATCTGCAGAAAGATAATAAAGATAATCTGAATTCTGATTCATTTGTTCACAGCGCTTTATTCAATACTTGGCATCTCGAAATACATTATTTAATCTCAACAACTATCTGGATAAAAGTGCCATGCAGGGTAAGGATTCTTTTTCTTTTAAAAATAAGTTTGAATTTATATTCTGGGTTTAAATTGAATCATATTTGATTAGCCCGTTGCGTCTCTTTATCTTAGTGAGGTTTTGTTATTGATAATGAAAAGAGTGATTCTTCAGATGATTGGGGTTTTAAAAGTGAGCATCAAATTTAGAATGGTCAAGTCAGCTAACTTGAGGAAAGGAATTTTTTTAGGGCCAGGCACAGCATCCTTCCATCCTTGCCTTTGTGAAATTGAGACAATTCAACATTTTTTTACTGCAGCTTTTATAAGGATCTTTGAAAGGACAGGATAATCCCTCTTTTATTACTTAAGTGCCCCTGGGGAACAGACAATTTTTTACAGTAACTTTTTACTTTCAGTCTCAATCTATGAAACCACCTACACACTAAACAAATTTATTGTAGTGTCAATTCAGTTGAGGCAACAATTAACATGAAACATGCCTTTTCTTTTTAACTGATGGATTTTATTTGCTTGTTTATTGCTGATCTCTATAAATCAAGAATTTGATTTGAATTGTACGCAGCTTGTCAGAGTGTCAATTACTAAAATACCCGCTTACTGATGATTCACAAGCTGAATAATAAGGACATAAATTGTTCTAAACAAACTCCTCAAAATGTTGTTGGCTTTTATTTAACGAGGTAATACTGCCATTCATAGGAACTGCATCAATTAGCTAATGCCAAGAGGTTTGCAAGTTGAAACAGCTGGAAGATGGATATTTCAAGGAACTGAAATTAATTTGGATCCCAATACATTCAGAAGAATTGTTATAAGAAGGTGTTGGGGGGAGATATGGCCAATTAACTATGGCGCTCTGAAAGGGGAGCGAATGACCACGCCAGAGACCAACAAACAGATCAATAGATAAGTTCCTGGGAACCTCTATAAATAAAGAGAGAACAGAAGATCTCCCACATGTGTTCTGGATGGCTGCTTCATGTCAGGAGATCCTAGGACAGTACTTTCCTGTGGGTTTGAGCACCAGGAGACAGTGGTGTTAGCCATCTTGCTTGCAACTGCAGTGGAGACACTCAACAAACCTCATTTTCTAATCAATTTCAGAAATTGCTTAGTAACTACTTTATTCTAGATCTTTAGAATAACTCTACCTTTAATGCTGAACAAAAAGAACATTTTAATCATAAGCTTAAGAATTTAAAGAATCTGAAAGAAATAGCAAAAAGCTAAATAAGATTTTGATCTTAGAAAGTTATAAACAGAGTAAGGGTCCAAATAAAATTGGAATAGCGAAGTTTTTACAATAAGAGTTTGGAATTAATTATGAAGAACACAGGCCTTCTTGTGGGAAATAGATCCTGTTTTGGTTTTTACCAGATTAACAAAGAATTTCATGATTTCAAAAACTGGACACTGGAAGGAACTAAAGATTTGGGGTGTACGAAAGATACATAGGTTTTCAAGATGGAAAACATAATGAAAATAGAAATATTGAAGGAGACTTGAAGAATGGAATCAGAAAATAGTAGCCATAATATCAACAAGCTAAGTAATTATGTTGGCTTCTATAGATAGGCTACAGTATAGTAAAAGATGTTACTGAAACAATGTCGGATATAGAATAAATTTGAAGACATAGAAAATGGTTTAAAAAAAATAATTTAAACTGACAGGCGAAGGAGAACAATTTTGGAAAGGATGTTTCACTGGATCTACAAAAGAAATTGGCTGAGTCTTTAAAATTTAAAAGGGAAGTACAAACCAAGAGAGTGACCTGAATAAAATTTTCCTACTGGATTTACAGAAGAGGCTTCTTCTTGAGGAATTCTATGTAATGGGACAAAGAAAAAAATGCAGAGAAATTAAATTCTATGACAATATTTGAATGGACTAAAGATTAAAATTTTTACAATTGAAAGGAATTAATATAAATTTGGTTTATTTGAATAAGGTTAAAATACAATATTTTGTTACTTGTGACTATCTTTTATGAACTTTCTGCTGACACCAGGATTGAAAAGATACTTTATGTATTTGCTTATAGTTAAGATATAGATGGAAGAAATAAATGTAACTTTAGAAAGGATGAAGAATTACTAAATTGTTTATACTTGTGATGAAGTTGCAAAGCAACTTTTTATGTTTCTTTTTCTTTATTCTGACTTCCTATTTCCCTTGCACTTTCATATATATGTATGTGTGTGTATATATATGTGTGTGTGTGTGTGTGTGTGTGTGTGTGTGTAATAACAATACAGAAGAAAACTTATAAGGATATAAAAATAAAAAAAATGTCTAACTGAACATTTTTTTATTTTCAGGCTATGATATGTCTACCTTCATCAGACGATATAGCAGATACTTGAACGAAAAAGCACTTTCTTATAGACTTGTAGCAGTTGATTTCACCAAAATGAAAAGAGGGTAAGGGTCACCTAGATTTTCACACTTTTGTGTTTGGAGGGCAGAAGTTGAACGGAACCAGCTTAAAGGAAATACTGTACATAGAGAAGAAAAAGAAAAATCCAATTTGCTACATCGATTTAAAGTATCTACAATACTTTTTCCAGTTAACTTTTTCTGCATTTTGAACATAGCTATAACATTAATAGGAAATATTCCTTAAAGAGATTCAATGGTGTGATTTGAAAATTGAAAAAAAAAAATCCCATTCTTTGCTTATTTTTTCTACGTGATTTCAGAGGACATACTCAAGTATGTCTGATAGTGAGAACAATTAACCAGTGGAACAACCTGCCTCCAGAAGCGGTGAATGCTCCAACACTGGAAGTTTTTAAGAAGAGACTGGACAGCCATTTGTCCGAAATGGTATAGGGTTTCCTGCCTGAGCAGGGGGTTGGACTAGATGACCTCCAAGATCCCTTCTCCTCCTCCTCCTCCTCCTACTTCTTCTTCTTCTTCTTCTTCTTCTTCTTCTTCTTCTTCTTCTTCTTCTTCTTATTCTTATTCTTATTCTTCTTATGTACATATGCAGAAAGGAGCAGTTTTATTAGAATCTGACGCATAGGTTGTGATTTTGTTATGCTGCATGTGTTATTCTGATAAACCTTTAAAAAGTATTTTTCATTATGTCTTTGAAGGATTGATGGTGTGATGAGGACAATGAATACTGAAAAACTTTTGAAAACCTTGCCAATTATTCAGAATCAGCTGGATGCACTTCTTGATTTTGATGTAAGCCTAGGAATTGCTCTTTACTGCTATAAAATAGAGTTGGACTTATCCAAGGGAATGAGGGAATGTTTTTACTTCCTCGTGTTTTAACTCTTTTCCATTTTTGCCGTTTTCTGTGCAGGCAAACCCAAATGAACTAACCAATGGCGTAATCAATGCTGCCTTCATGCTCCTCTTTAAAGATTCCATTAGGCTTTTTGCAGCCTATAACGAGGGGATCATTAACCTGTTAGGTATGTGAAATGGAAATAATTTAAAGTGGAGACACGTAAACATACGTACGAGGCTTTCTAGATATTTTCCATGTACAACTTCCCTCTTTGTTTTTTTATATTCTAACTTGTTTATTATTTTGTCTTATTTCACATTTTGTTTCTGTCACACACTTGTATCCATCCCTTGGCCAACACATAATAGTTTTGCTTATGCTCTTTTCTGTTGCATTCTTTTCCGACATCCACATACAGCTTCCTCTGCCTCATATCCATAATGTTAGAAATTACTTTCTTAAAAAAAACACGGATATTGTACAGCTTTGGCCGTCTTGGATGTTGAAATGTTCCATAATACTTCAGCAGGATAACTAGTTCGCAGAAAAAACACGCTTCACTTACCAAAATCAACAGCTACAGAATTTTCTAGAGCTGCGATCTGTACAATTTGTTGTTTCCTGGTATTAAAATAATCTGAATTTTTGAAGTGGGAGAGGGGATAAATTGACAAAAGTATAAACAACATGGTAAACCACATGTGAACCTACTAATTATGTTTAATGAAATTAAGACTTAAATTATGTATACACATTAAGCTCTGATGGTTTGGAGGAGATAGAAACTTGATTCTTTGTATATCAATATAGACTGAATTCTTAAAGTATTCTGAATGTAGATACAACTCTGTGGGACCATCCTAATCCTCATAGTAATGATAAAATTGTGGAAATTTGCATTCATCCATAACTATGAAAAAGAACTTGCGTGGTTCAGAAGATGCCATAGAGCAGTGATTCTCAATCTTTCTAATGCCGTGACCCCATAAAACAGTTCCCCATGTTGTGGTGACCCCCAAGTGGGTGTGGCCACCAATAAGAGGGAGTAGGACAGCTAGGGAAAAGGGAAAAAAATGGCGGACTGCGTTGTTTGGCGACCCCCGTGAAATGGTCGTTTGACCCCAAATGGGGTCCCGACCCACAGGTTGAGAACCACTGCCATAGAGTTAGTAAACTTCTCATTAAATTTCACTAAAGGCTCCTTGGGAATAAATTAGTTGACATTTCCTTTCGTTGACTAAGATTTATAATAAAGCTTAAAATGGAAATTAAATAATAATAATTCAAATATTAATTTAGATTCTGTTAATCTAAATTCTCACCCACAATTGAATTTAGGATCCATCTGCTGTTTTTTTTAATAACTTCATTGAATTCCACAGGTTAGAAATGTTTTTAAGAATGAATATGTATTTCTCAAAGATGTTTTGTCAGCTTGCATAATTAATGTTCTAGTAGCCTTACCGTAATCCCCCGGAGTTACAAGGCCAAGCTTTTTCTAATATTGCTATTATTAATTTGTGGTCTGACAGAGATAAAAGCCTTTTCTAAAGCTTTTCATTTACAGGCGGTTTTTATTTGTCCTCAGTAATAGCACGTGGGAGCTTATAACCCCATAATTTAAAAAAAATGGCAGATTCTTATATGTTAATCAAGCTCTTGGTTAGGATGTATTTTACTTTCTCAACCTATTAAACTTCTAATAAGATATGGATTTTTGGGGCTCTTTTATTTACAATATATTTTCTTTGAATTTTATGCTTCAGAAAAATATTTTGATATGAAGAAGAACCAGTGCAAAGAAGGTCTGGATATTTACAAAAAGTTTTTAGCCAGAATGACCAAACTATCAGAGTTCCTCAAAGTGGCAGAGGTAAATAAATCCAGTCACATCAGCAGTATTTCATTTAGCTTTTCTGTACTGGTACAGTAATAAGTGCATGATTGTAGTTCTTGCCCCATAATTTCCTGCAAAAGTAGGTTTTATGTGGTGGTTGAATGTAAATGTCGCCTAAACCGTTCACATTTGAAAGAAATATTTTGAACGTCTGATTTCTAGTAATTGTAGTTAAGACATGTCTGTGCTGAGGTATTTACTGAAGTTGTTTTTCCAAGTTGTGTCAAAAATTCTCACAAGCTATTTTTGCTCTTTCTGGTATTTGAAATGGATCAACACTTAATATTGAAATTTTCTGTGGAAGTGGCATTTAGAATTGTACCAGTTCAGAAAGCAGTCCGTGTCCTCCCTGATCCCTTAGCTTTATGTAGACATTCAGGTCCACAGTTCTTTATTTTCATTGCCACTGCATGTAGTAATGTACATTTTTTTCCCTTTTTTGTGAACCCAGCAAGTTGGAATTGATCAGGGTGACATTCCAGATCTTACTCAGGTCAGTGTACATTTCATATTAATTTAATCCCAATCCTTTGTGCATTTGTGCTTTAACAGTGAGTGCTCCATTCTGTACATTCTGAGAATTCATTTTCTTCCATATATATTATATATGGAAATAACCTGTGTTGTGTTCGATCAGTAACAAGTTGTTTTAAATATTTTCATGAGCTACTCTGTAGATATTGTTACTAAATATTGAGGGATATTGCCGTATACCAGACTGATTTGCTAAAACTCCTGCTGTGTTGGAGAGAACTCCTTTATTAAAATACAAGCATCTTTTCCAATTTTGTCAGCTTGAGGACAGTGCATTAACAGTTCCCTCCTCTGATTAACAAAGGGGAAGAGGTTATAGTTCTGTGGTTAGGCCAAGGGTAGGCAACCTTGGCTCTTTTATGACTCGTGGACTTCAACTCCCAGAATTCCTGAGCCAGCATAACTATGCTGGCTCAGGAATTCTGGGAGTTGAAGTCCACGAGTCATAAAAGAGCCAAGGTTGCCTACCCCTGGGTTAGGCCATACAATTGAATTGCATAGATTCATAGCTTCAGTTCTCTCTTTTAAGAAAGGCTCATGGGAAATGTTTCTGTTGAAATGCTTGATAACTGATGCCGAACAAACTATATAATGTATGTTACTGTGTCTTTCAGGTAGATGATAGATCTAAAATTTCTTAATGTTCATTCTGTGATGATATGGGTATTAATGCATTGGGCTGAAGAAATTTCTTACATGAGATGCAAGACATTTTCAAGGGAAAAAACCAAGAAAGTCCAGTTGCCTTTTGAAAAGCACCTTTGGGATGATTCTAATGTTAATGTTCCCGTACTGGGAACTGTTTTAGTTTGGCTGAGAGAGAACAGGCTTAAAATGAACCCCGACAAGACGGAGTGGCTGTGGGAGAGCTTTTGTTCGAATGTCAGAGATTCTCCATTTTTTGTTCTGAATAGGGTAATACTTTCCATCCAAGACTGGCACACAATTTGGGAGTCCTCGTGGGCTCAAAATTCCTGTTCAGTGAGCACATGGTTGTTGTTGTTGTTAATTGCGAAGTCATGTCCGACCCATCGCGACCCCATGGACAACGTTCCTCCAGTCTTCCTGTCCTCTACCAATTTCTGGAGTCCATTTAAGTTCACACCTACTGCTTCAGTGACTCCATCCAGCCATCTCATTCTCGGTCGTCCCCTTCTTCTATTGCCCTCAATCTTTCCTAGCATTAGGCCCTTCTCAAGTGAGTCCTCATTAGGTGGCCAAAGTATTTGAGTTTCAACTTCAGGATCTGGCCTTCTAAAGAGCAGTCGGGGTTGATCTCTTCTAGGACTGACCAGTTTGAACGCCTTGCAGTCCAAGGGAATCGCAGGAGTCTTCTCCAGCACCATAGTTCAAAGGCCTCAATTCTTTGGCGCTCAGCCTTTCTTATGGTCCAACTTTCACAGCCATACATTGCAACTGGGAAAACCATGGCCTGGACTATATGCACTTTTGTTGGCAAAAGTAGCTACAGCCAAAAGAGCCATTGCACTGATTCATCTGGGCAGCAGTTGTGCCCTTTCTTGGACTGCAAGTCCCTTGTCACAGGCACTCATCTTGCGCAGTGCTCTCATGTGGCTGCCCTTGAAGACCACTCAGAAGCTACAGATGGTCCAGAATGGAGCAGCACCAGCCATTATGGAAGCATCTCGATATGCCCATGCAATACCTCTGCTAGGAAAGCTGCACTAATTATTATTGAGCTTCTGCGTGCAGTTCAAGGTGCTGATTATTATTGCCTATAAAACCTTTCCTGGCATGGGGGGGGGGTATGGCTATCTCTGCCATCAGTTCTGTCTACTCCACGGGTGTCAAAACCCGCTCCGCGTCATGATGCAGCACGACTTTTTCCATATTGCCGGAGCTGGGTTGGGCGTGGCCTCTGCATGATGCAACTGGCTCACGGGCCGGCAGTTTAACACCCTTGGTCTACTCCATAGTGTCTGAGAAAGTGAGTGTGTTTCATATCTCATCTGTTAAGTAACCTTATCTGATGTATGAAGCCCCAACCTCTCTGCTACAGTGTCAACCCCTGGAAAAACATCCACCAGGCAGTGGCACTGTTTTGAACCTGTAAGTTTAAACAAGAGTTTCCCAGCCTTGCCAACTGGAAGATGTGTGATCTTCAATTCCCAGCATAGTTGGCTTTGTTATTCTGGGAGCTGGTCCACACATCTTCAAGTTTCCATTAAAAAATCTCTGAAAACCTTTTTTTCTCCCCAACTTTGGCATAGGTAGGGTGTAACTATCTGGTATATAGTGTTTGTTTCATTTGGGCATGTCTGTTCTCTCCATTATACTTACATTTATTTTTGGTTTTAGGTGTTGTATCTGTTTTTAATCTGTACAATGTACAGGGTCAGTGCTGAGTTGGGTAGTCTTATAAATCTAAGTGACTAAAAGTATGATGATAACTTTATCTTTACTTGGAAAAAATGTAAGATTCAGTGCCCCAAAGCTCCTGTTTTCCAGATAGTGTTAAGTGGACAAGGCAGGATCTTAAATTTTACATTTTGGAGGGCATTTTCTTTCACGGTGCTAATATAGGGCTAGACAAATGAGCTGACAGTCTAATTGTTTCTAAGGTAGCATTAGATGTTTGTGTGAAAAGTTCTACAGAATTAGCACAACAGAGTGATTCTATAGACCGGGAATCTCCAAACGTGGCAACTATTAAGACTTGTAGACTTCAACTCCCATGCTGGCTAGAGAATTCTAGGAGTTGAAGTCCACAAGTCTTAAAAAGTTGCCAAGTTTGGAGACCTCTGTTATAGACAATATGAGAAATTCTTGCTAGCCAGCTTGTAACTTTGATCATTCAGATGCAGTAGTAGTTACCCAGTTCCATCGAATGCCTCTGTAGATTCCTATCATTTGACTCCATCTGTCACTATGCTGACACAGTGCTTTAGTTTTTTTCTGCCTCTTTGCCTGTGCCACCAACTCCCATCTTACCCCTTTTCCTTCCTGTTTGCACAGTTGCTATTTAGCTCTTTTTTATTACTTTGCTGTTCAGTTTATCCAAGAATCATTTGGCTTGCATTATCTGCAGATTGCCATGTCAGCAATTTGGGGCTTCTTATCTGTGTTAAACACTAGGAGAAGGAAATTACATCTCTAGATGGCTAGATGTTTGCTAGCACAATATTCAGTGAAAGCTGAGACTTTTTAAAAATTACAGTGCTCCCCAGGGTACCATCAATTTGGGACGTATGGAATTTAACATGATGGAAAAGGGAAACAGGTGTGGTTAACGCCTTAATAGAGGTCTGATTGAATTATGGGGGATTAAGCAAAATGTGGTAAGGAAAATAAAAATATTAGCCTTGGGCACACTTCATTGGATAAGTTGCCTTTAGATTGCTTTGAAATATATAGAAATAAGGTCAAAATAGAAAAGATTCTTTATCCCATACTCTGTGTTGAAGAGTCATGCCGCCTCTAGATTTTACTTCGTTTGATCGATCAGAACATCCATTTAATAAGAATTTGTAAGCTACAGTTCACTTGATATAAATCAATACATTCATTCTCTTACAGCATCCTGTTCTGAGTTTACAATTTGTAAATGATCTTTCTCTTACCTCTGAATCTTTACAAAATTGTTTCCCTATAGATATGTGTAACTGGGATATTGGGCCAGGCCAATTTTCAGACAGGAAAAACACCTGCAGGAAGTGACACTTAAGTTGCTGAAAAATAGCTCCTTTGCTTTCTCCTCCAAGTGCCTGTAATAAAGAAAACAGACCATAGGATCAAGTTGTGTGAGCATTCGACCCAAACTAGCGTCCCCTGAAAAGAGGGATGTGACCGTAATAGTTAATCTGGCCAGGGGGGTCCAGTTAAAATTTGTACTTTCCATAACTATACAGCAAGGAAAGTTGAGCAACAGAAAAGATTGTACTAACGATACGGGTAGTCCTCAACCTATGACCACAACGGGGCCCAAAATTTCTCTTCTTAAGCAAAACGTTTGTTAAGTGAGTTTCCCCCCCTCCCCATTTACAACCTTTCTTGCCACAGTTGTTAAGAGAAACGCTGCATTTGTTAAGTGAATCTGGATTTCCCCTTAACTTTGCTTGTTGGAAGCTCACAAAATGTGATCTCATGACCTTGGGGACACAGCAGTAGTTATAAATACGAAGCAGTTGCCAAACATCTGGATTTTGATCACGTGACCACAGGGTTGTGAGTGTGAAAAGCGGTCAGATCACTTTCCCCAGTACCGTTGTAACTTTGAACGATAATTAAAATTGTAGCTAAATGACCTGTCGTAAGTCGAGGACTACTTGCGCTGTATTGGGGAACTCTAGTTTTCTCCACAAAAGCCGGGACATCCACTTGCCAGCACCAGCCTTTCTCAACCATGGCAAATTTAAGATATGTGGATTTCAACTCCACATTGGCTAGGGAACTCCGGGAGTTGAGGTCCACCCATTTTCATGTTGCCAAAGTTGAGAAGTGCTGGTCTAGAAGATAACAGAAATTGTCAATACAATATTCTACAGGAATCTTAACACCTTGCTGATCTGACTAAAAATGGTGCAGGAAAACCCCTAAAAGCTTGGGAAGCTGCTGCAATTTAGAATAAATGATTTTTGGCTTGATGCCCTATAGCCTGACCTATAGTCTGATACAGTTTCTGTGTTCTTAGCAGTTATTTGCTTCCTGTTATACAGAAGACCACGTTTGGATTATTTTATCTCTGTCTGGTGCAAGCAAGAGAAAAGGCTAAATTGGGAGTATGTATTAGAAATGGAGGTTCTCCTCCATTCGTCTGTTCTTGCCGTGATATCTTGGAATAGAATGTCTATCTCTAGCGTTCAGAACAGAAAATGCAAGCAGAGGAAGAAAAATGAATTTTAGAATCCAATATACATTTGATGAGATTTTTAACTTTAGGCTCCCAGCAGTCTGCTTGAAGCCCTGGAACAGCATCTGGCTTCTTTGGAAGGAAAGAAGACCAAGGAAGTTTCCGCTGCCAGCAGGTAATTGCCCGAGGCTTGAAGTTGGCTTGTACCTGTCATCTGGGAGCATTGGTCAATGTCTAGCACCATGGTGGTGAATCTATGGCATGCGTGCCACAGGTGGCATACAGAGCCCTCTCTGTGGGCACATGCGCCGTCGCCCCAGTCTTAGGCCTTCAGCTAGGTTTTATAAAACCTTTTCGCTTTAGGCCTCCGCCGCCATGTGCAAAAAAAAAAAAGGTTCAATCAATCAATTTCAACTTCTTGTGGGAAAAAAAAATATCTCGCAAAGTTGGAATTGATTGATTGAACTTTTTAGTCCCACCCAGTCTGCCTTTACCACTGCAGCCATGGTCATCCAATGGGCCACGCCCACCCAACTGGCTACACCTACCCAATGGGCCACGCCCACCCAGCATCTGATGATACATAAGTGGGTTTTGGGTTGCAGTTTGGGCACTCGGTCTCTAAAAGGTTCGCCATCACTGCTCTAGCACTTGCTTAGCTCTTCTCTGGACCCGGGTTTCTTACTTTGACGAAATCTCTTAGGTTCCTTTCATGTGAGGAAAGCTGGCAGATTAATTCCAGTCCTGCCTCTTCTTCAGGAGAATAGATTACAATGGTTAAAATAAAAGTTACGATACCAGGTGCTGGCAGTTAAAATGCACAGACACCCATTGAACAGTTATTGCCACAGTCCAAAAATGTTGATTCTGACACCTGATATTAAAGGAGAGAAAGGAACCTGAGGTGGTTCATTCCTGACAGAACTCCCATTTGCATATAGACAATCCTCAGCTTATGACTACTGTTGGGACCATTGCTAAGTAAGGCAGTTGTTAATTGAGTCAGGCTATTTTGCCACAGTTGTTAAGCAAATCGTTAAGCCAGTCCGGCTTCCTACATTGGTTGTGTTTGTCAAGCTGGCTGGGAAAGGTGCAAATGGCGATTACGGCGCCATTGCAACCATTGTAAATACATTCCAGTTGCCAAGGATCCAAATTTTGATCCTGTGACTGTGGGTACGTTGCAGTGGTTTTAAGTGTGAGGATTGGTCATAAATCACGTTTTTCAGTACCCTTGTAATTTCAGACAAGTCACTAGAGGAATAGTTGTAAGTCAACGATCACTTGTGTCTTAATATTTCCATTTCAGATTATTTATTCATGTAACTCAGGTAGCCATCCCACCTGTCCAGTCACTTGAAGATCTCTGCCCATAGTTGCAGATACTCTTAAACATCTTCATTTGATTGGTTAAGTACGTGAAGGATTGCAGTCTGAATGCCTCGCATCTCTGTGTTTTTTTTTCCCTCCTTGACTTGAGAATGTTTAATTGTATAACAACAGGTCCATTCTCTTTCTTGGTAGTCCCCTGCCCCCAAGAAAATAGACTGGTTTTTCTCTGGGCGGTTGGTTCAACCTCAGAGCTGCTAAATGTCTTTGTGTCTGTGTGTTTTCTCTAAAATCCAGAGCAAGTACTCTCTCCAGTGCCGTTTCCACCCTGGCCAACACAGGAATGTCCTTCAGTAAAATGGATGAAAGAGAGAAACAGCAGGCCCTGGAGGAGGAGCAAGCTAGACTGCAGGCTTTGAAGGTATTAACTCTTGCGTTGGTAGACATAATAGCAGTAGCATTTAGACTTGTGAACCACCCCCCATAGCACTTTACAGCAGGGGTAGTCAACCTTGGCTCTTTTATGACTCGTTGGACTTCAGCTTCCAGAATTCCTGAGCCAGCACAGCTGGCTCAGGAATTCTGGGAGTTGAAGTCCACGAGTCATAAAAGAGCCAAGGTTGACTATCCCTGCTTTACAGTATTCTCTGAGTGGTTTAAAATGTCGGCCTACTGCCCCCAACAACCTGGGTCCTCCTTTTACTGACCTCAGAAGGATGGAAGGCTGAGTCAACCTTGAGCCCCGTCTGGATCAAACTCCAGGCTGTGGAGCAGAGTCAGCCTGCACTACTGCACTTTCATCTCTGTGCCACCAGGGCGAATTAGCTCTGACATGTAGAAGCTGCTTTTGTTGCTGGTGCTGCCGCCACTTCTTAATTTTACATGCCACCCATCTCTGAGCACTTGCAGTAGCAATCTCTCCTACATCCCTAAGAAAAGCTTCCTTAATTCCAGCCATTAAATCAAGCTTTGCTGAGAAAAGGATCGCTTTCTTGCTTTTACCATTTTGTCTGAACGATTAAACCTCCCCCCCCCCCAGTTAATGGACATTTGGGAGAGTTACTCCGGTCACTTATCACATGGTGTCATCTTAATCTCTGTGTATCATACAATGTGTCTTAGACAGCCTCAATCCACGAGTCAACACATTTGGGTTCCATTGATATCAGTGAGGGGAGAGTCACATAAATTCTGGACTCTTTTCCATTGAAAAAAAGGTTTGGCTAGGTCATCAGCTTGTAAAAATCATATAAATCATGCAAAAACTCCATTGCCTTCTGTGGAAAAAGTTGAGCAATCTGTTGACTTATTTTGCTGGATCGTCCTGTCACAGGACAGCGATGTGGGTTAATTTCCTCATGATAATGAAGTTTCACTTCTGGTGTATTTAACCTTTTTGTGTGTGAGGAAGGCTAATGCAGCATCTACTGTCATTTTCTTCTTTTTTTTTTTCTTCTTTTTCTTTTTTGGTAGGAACAGCGATTGAGAGAGATTTCTGTAGTTTCCAATTCTACTTCCACTTCTGCTTCTCCAAGCACTTTATCTGGAAAGAGCGTGAACACCAATCCTGCCGTTGACCTCTTTGCAGCCCCCGCCCCAACTACCAATAGGTAGGCATGGGCTTATATTTTAGTCACGGAAAAGCTACCAAAAAAGTAACAGGAGGGTGAATATTCCTAATCTGCTTGTTTATTTGTTTTGCATTGGAAAATTAACCCAGCCTGGTGTTGGGGGAGGTTTCTGGGAGCGGAGATGGGGAGGAGTCAATCGGGGAAACGTGATTGCAGTCAGGACAGGCCATGGGGGATATGATGAGAAGCTCAGAGCCGGGATCCTTCCAGTTCTCAGTCCTCCTCCCCAGAGCATCAAAAATGTCAAATCTCTGGAACCCTGGGGTTTTCACTGTGATTGTGAAATGTCAGATCTCAATGTGTGAAATTGACTTCATTTGTGATTAGTTGTGAGTGAGGGGGAGACTTGGCTTGCATCACTCAAATCTGTGTGGGGGAGAAGGGGGATGTTCTTGTGGGGTTTGGCTTTGGCATTGGCTGCAATCGTAGGGTGGGAACATCTGTTGTCATCCATGAGATTCTGCTGGCATCTAGAAGGATAAAGAGATGTGAGACCCTGTTTATGTGGCTGGGCTTGAAGGATCAGGTGGATTCCTTGCTTGTGTCCCACTCCCTCTGATGCTCAGCAACCACACACCCTTTCATCCCCTTTCAAGGGTGGAATTGGGGCTTCCATAGTGCTTGTGCTGGAGATGCCAATCTGCCTTCCTTCTCCGAGGTGGTCTGAAGCTAAGGAGTTTAAGTCATTAAGGAATTAATGACACCATGATAATACCTGATTCGTCTTATAGTTACCTATTAGATTTCTCTCTCCTCCCCTCCCCCCTTTTTTGTGTGTCTTGGACAAGATACAACATGATCTGAAAATGTTTGTGGGGTGGGGAAGACTGACCGTCACTCCTTGCCATGGACAGATTTCTGTGAAGATTTATGGGTGAACCCCTCTATACAGTGAGAAAAGACCTATTAAATCTATCTGTCCCAGGTGTCTAATGGATCTTGAGGATTTTCAGAAGACGCTTGGGACTTTCCCCAAGGATCTGATGGGCAGCTCAAACCAAGATGCTAGCTACAAACTTTCTTCATTTTTTCAGGACACTTTGAATAAAAGGGAGTCATTTTGTTGCCAGCTTTGCTTAAAAAGAAAAAAGAGAGAGAGATAGAGACTCGGATATTTTGATACTCAAAATGAATCAACAATGGAGTTGAAATGGAATTGATTCTTGCTAAGATTTAAATATTGTATTGCAGTAAATAAAGCCTCTTGAACTATTTCGTAAACAAATCTTGTGGAGCTGGAGATGCTTGTTAGATTCCTCATTCAGTTTTCCGCTGTTCTGGAAGATTTAAGTTTCAGCTTCAGCTCCCTCAGATATACAGACAATAAGTATGATTTTTGCACAACTGGTATTTTTGAAACTTTCAGCATGCCCAACCTTTCTACCGATCTCTTCGATCTTCAACCTGCGTTTGTTCCTACGGTACAAAGTACTCCAGCCATAGCAACGTCAGCAAGCAGTGCCTGGGGAGGTAAGTAGCTTTTGTACCTGAAGAGAACAGTGAGGTTACTTGGAATTTTTTCCTCTGTCAATTTACCTTGAACACCTGAGCATACAACTAAGCCTCTGCTGCCATGCAACTCAGGTATCTCTTTGCTTCCACTAGCAGCTGCAGCGGAGAACTAGTAGCTAACAATCTGGAAGAGAGCTGCTTCTGCATAGAATATATCACATTAACTTTGCTGTCTTTCTTGCTTGGCTTGTTTACACACAGTGGCTGTTTTGCGATACTGTTATTTCCTTCTAGGTGGTTTGATTTTAACATAAACTTGAGTGAAATAAAGAGACTTAAGAAGTACGTTCTTCAGAATTTGAAGTGTGATTGGATCTAATTGAGAGAAGGGTTTTTAGCATAAGAAAGACTTCTATTGTCATTTCAGCTTATCTTACTTAAATAGAGTAATGTGGAATAATACTTTAAAATTATAGATTTGAACTGGGAGATTCTGGTTTAGGTTCCTGTTCGAGCACAAAGCGAACAGTGGTTGCGGACCAGTCACTTCCTCTCAATCTAACCTATCCCACTGGATTGTTGTTGGACAAAATTAGGGGAGACTGTTATGTATGCTGTCTTCAACTCCCGGAAGAAAGATGGGATGTACATTGAATAATTCAGTACATTATGATTTGAATGCTTTCGGTTACTAGCATTCTGATTGCGCTAAAAAGGGTTCATGTACCTATTCCTACATACATTGCTGTTTCTCAGTTGCTTATGCAGAAACAAATTCAGGTGGTATTCTGCCAGCAAAGTTGAATTTCTGATGGCCAGTCTAAATTGCTTCAAGTGCAAAGTGCAGATAAAATTTTCAAGCCCCCTTTCCCGGCATCACACATTCTGTAGCAAATTCGGACCACTTTTACACACCAGACAAAGCCATATGTGGTTGATCGACTTAATGCAGTATATGAACCTAGCCTTTGTGATATTTAAACCATGTTTTGCAACTTAGCATGACATGTGAACAGAACCCCCGGTGTCCCAGATTTTCAAGAGTTTGGTGGTTAAGATGTACTTATAATTGAGTGCCACACAGGGTTTCCTCTTTCTTCAATTCTGCACATAATTAATTCTGCTGAAACAGCAGCAGAACATTTGACTTGGATGCTTCACCCCGATTCTCCAGATACATACAAGTAGTAGTCCTGATAAAGATCTCAGAATTTCTCTGCTGCACAATTTTCCGGCTTGTGCATTTGCTTTTATATGTGGGCAAGAATTCTGTGAGCGACAGGCTCTTCCCGACCTTCCATCACTTAAAAGACAAGCAGGAGAATTACAACAATCATTTTCAATCTTGGCACCATAATAAAATGATCTCAGCCTTTGAGGAAAGTGGCTGTCCAGGGTCACCTTGTAGGGGAGATGGGCGGCATAAAAATTTAATGAGTAAATAAAAATAAATATTTTAGGATGAAGTTGGTGGCTCCCGAATCAGTTAACTATACTAAAAGCCTAAAGCAGGGGTCTTCAAACCTGGCCCTTTTATGACTTGTGGACTTCAACTTCCAGAATTCCTGAGCCAGCACAGCTGGCTCAGGAATTCTGGGAGTTGAAGTCCACAAGTCATAAAAGGGCCAGGTTTGAAGACCCCTGGCCTAAAGGGATAAATGATCTCAGAATTCTGTTGTCAAAGTTAATCTCTGGAGAACAACAGCAAGAAAACTGATATGAGTTGCAAACAAATTTAAGTTGGTTGAGATCAGATTTCTCTTTTTAAAAATAAACAAATTACAACTTTGCTTTTCTGTATTATCCTTCCCTGACTTGGAAATTTCCAGATGTAAGGGTTTGCAGCACCAAGAAAACCAACTAGCATTTTGGTACACATCTGGAGGGCATCCATTTGGGGAGAAATATCCCTCATCTGTGACTATGCTTTCTCTTCTGAATACTACTTATCTTCTGGTTTTTCTTCTTTCCCTTTCTTATTATCTAATGCTGAAAGGACATTTCTCATCGACAAACGGTTGTGTTGGGTCTCCACCCCATCTGGATGTCTTTGATATGAAGCCAGTTGAAGAAGCTGTAAAAAGTACAACTCCTTTTGTGAGCTCCACCTTTGGCTCCAAACAAACAGTGGAACTATTTAGTGGTAAAAAAAATAATAATTTAATTTCTTTTTCCACCATTAGAAATTGTAACTGGTTCTGATATATGTATTTCAGTTGAAATTCAGTTTCTGCCTAAGTTTCCACTCAAAAATACGTTGACATTCTATTTCATTCAACAAATGATTATGGTGATTTTCATTTGGACGGCAAGTGGCATAACTATGAAAAGTGCATGTTTCGTGTTTGATATGTTTTTTTATAATCAGTAGAATACATTGAGATGCCTTTCATTTACTTCTACATTCTGCACTTAAATGCTGCCTGCCCTTGCTTAGTTTCATCCTTTGCTAGATGAGTGTAGTGGTCCTTCATTTTCTCCTCTGGTTTTGGGGTCCTTGTAATAGTTTTTGTTGTTCTTTTAGCCTGCAAGGCTGTTTAATTCTGTCAATCTCACCAATATTTTGCTAGGCTACCCTCTTCATTCTGCATCACAGAAAACAACCTCCTCAACAATCAATGTGGACTTCGATGCTGTCTTTGGTGGAAAATCGACTGTAAATGATTTTGGAACTACAACAGGTAAAGTTCTTTTTTTTCCTCTCTCCTCGTGTCTTTTTTAAAGCTTAGCTTAGCTTTTAGCTTTACGCTTCTCTAAATAATGTAATTTATTAAAAAGCTTTGCTGGAAAATCACGTGCTCTTAAGAGGAGAGGTTTATAATATCTAAACAATTTGCCCATTGACTAATAATATCTCCATCTTGTACTTTGACAGTGATTCCCTTTTTGTAAAAATGTAAAACATGACTTAATAGCTTACAGAACGGTTTTGGAATTTAAAAGCTGTGCTGGTATATTCCTATTGTGGCTTGTTAAGCTGTGTTGTGAATGAACCTTGTCTGCTTTTACATGGCCACTTCATATCAGAGAAAAAGCCAAGAAGTCACATTAGCCCTTTTAAATCATGCTATCCTACCCTGCCTTTGAAAGCCATAAATTAGCTTCTTCTATGTTCTGTGTATTGCCTGTGCATGACCTTAGTTCTTAATGAGTTACCCTTAATTTTCAGATGATGTATTACAACCAACAGTAGCTGCACAAAATCAGAGAGGAAATGTAATTGGGCAACAAAGTGGGAAGATTTTGGCCAATGACCTAGACTCTTCACTTGCTAATCTAGTAGGAAGTAAGTACAAAACTTTTTTTCAACGTCATTCCATATTTTTATATAAAGGAATCCCCATTTTTTAAAATTAAATTATTTTAATGGCTTTTCTTGCAGATCTTGGATTTGGAGGGACACCACCCAAAAAGTGAGAAAACCTACATATTTTTATCTTGAAATAATTGCTTTATATATTGATAAACAGCCCTTATAATTGATATTTTTAAGCCGGCTTTCCACAGCCTGATCCACTGCAGCAGAACAATTATAAGAAGTCAGCAGTTGAAGAAGCTTGCTACATTTTGTTGAAACAAGAGACATTGTAATGTTTCATGTTAGTAAACAATATAGTTTACTATAATGCCTGTGAATATACTCAAACATTTACAGCCTGTGAAAAGCACATAGTCTTTTGCTTGCTATCAAGTTTCTGTTCTAATTGCTCAAACAGATCTCATAATCAGAAGATTACCCAGTTGAATAGCATTGTTTGAACAGTGAAAATGAAAAGTTTCGGAATTTGGGGAGTATTTTAACCTTGAGGGGAAAAAAATACATTCAAGGATTAACACAGTAAAGGCCTCAATGTAATACAGGTAGTCCTCAACTTACAACAGTTTGTTTAGTGACTGTTCAAAGTTGCAACGGCACTGAAAAATGTGACTTACGACTGTTTTTCACAGTTACGACCTTTGTAGCATCCCTGTGATCATGTGATCAAAATGCAGGTGCTTAGCAACTGCTTTGTTTTGTGTCACCTTGAGTTATTTATAAAAACAGTAAAGATGGAATAAAAAATCAAATCAATCAATCTGAGGAATGTTAGCAGTTGTTCAGAGGATTGTGTGACTTGCCCCTAATTGTAATGATGAGAATATGGCAGAAGCCCTGATAGGTTGCTGAATAAAACTGCTTTGTTGTGCAATTCCCTTTAGATCTGATATGCAGTGGAATCAGCCTACAGAGAAGAAACTTACTGGGGGTAACAACTGGCAAGCAAAAACAAGCACCTCAACTACGTGGAACACCGTTCCTGTACCTCCTGCTCCACAGATGGTATGGACATTCTTGTCTATGTATTTGCAGTATGCTTAATGTTGGCCAGAATGCAGAGAGCTAATTGTTTTTTCATAAAACTACCACTCTTCTTGTATCATAAACTACTTTTGACACTTTTTTGAGATTTACAGTACCATCAACTGTAATTTGGTATTAAATGGATGAACCTTGGACTTATCTCTTTCCTTCCCCATTTCTGTGCTATGATCCAGTTATTTTCTTCAGTCAGCCATTAAAATATATCTTTTAACTAACTTGTTTGGTGTTTTCAGAAAAGGTAATACTGTAGTCAGATGTTACATGCAGACTGTTTTATTCTTCCATCATAGGTACCTGCTCCAGTAACCTACCCAGTAAATACACCTCAAGTGCCTGTGTATGGAATGGTAAGTTACTTAGGGTTGATAAGTTTATGTTTATATGGTAGAGATACCCTTTCCCCCCAGTTTTAATATCTCATTCTCTAAGATTATGTGGAGAAGGAGTGGCAGAACAAGGTGTGGAGTTAAAAGAGGAATCAGCCTAAAATATCTTTGTAGCCTTAAATGGATTAAATCCAACCCTCTTTGAATTCATTTAACTTTTATCTAGTGTCCAAATAGTGCTAAACATTAGCTGAGTAGATTCCTGTGCATAGGTATGAGCAATAAATCAGTTTAATTGTAATTTCATGTGTGGTCCTAGTCTTTTGCACGTGACAGCTTAACATGTTCTACATTGGGTAGCATCTGCTTACTCAGGAAGTTTATGCAAGATTCATAATCTTTATATTAAGCACATGCCATATTTGGACAATAAACCTGCATAACAGAAAACTAACATACTCTCTGTGCTGGGATTTTTTTTTTTATAAAATAACATTAGAGCTGGGTACATTTGAAACATTTAGAAGACATGCCTTTGGTCTTGCATAATTCCTAAATGAGAAACAAATATTAAGTATTTTCTGATTATCCCATAATGAGTAAAGGTGGCCGAGAAGTTTGAATGTATAAATATTTGGATGGGATTGAATATTGTTGAGCCATGTTGACTACCCAATCTTGACTGAATCCCAGATATATAGAATTATTTATTTATTTATTTGTGTGGAGAGCCATCTCCGCAAGTGATTCTGGGCAACAAACCATCTTAAAACCAGTTAAAAACACATTGCATCACAAATACAAAAATGCTAGCACATCCAGGAGATCCGATCCTTCACGCATTTGGGGGCCTTGTCAGACGGGTTGGGGCCATCCTAATACCTGGAGGGGAAATGCTCCAGGTGCTAAGACAGAGAAGGCAACACCTGCTGGGCCCTGCCAAGCATCATTCCTTAACCAACCCAGAGCATCCCCACTCTGCCAGACCGTTGGGTGGAAACAACTGGGAGAAGATGATCCCTCAAGTACCGTAAATGCCGGCGTATAAGACGACTTCCGCGAGCGCTGAAATCGGCGCCAAAGACGGGGGTTGTCTTATACGCCGAGTCGTCTTATACGCCGGAAATACTGGTAGTTTCCGGCGTATAAGACGACGTTCTAGGAATGCGGCCCGGCTATAAAGACGGGGGTCGTCTTATACGCCGGGTCGCCTAATACGCCGGCATATACGGTAACCCAAGCTAGGAAGGACTTTAAGATGACAGCCAGCGTCTTGAATTGCATTCAGAAGCATGATGTTGAGTAACCAACATCATTTTCTACCTGTGCAGCTCCATCCTGTACTAGCTGAAGCTTCTGAATGCAGTTTAAGGGCATTATGAGATACAACCAACACAGCTAAATAATTCTGGGTAGGTGGTCATCATGACTATGTTGGGAATACGAGTATACCCCCAATCCAATTTTTCAAATAAACTTAACTAAACTACAACTTGGTTCTACTTCGTTAGACTAGAAAAGAAAATGAACATGACAGTTGCTAGAGTTTGGCATCGCTCTCCCTGAACAACTAGTAAGAAGAGCTGCTAGTTTTTTCTTATGCAGTGGTGGCCTGCTAAGGTTGTCACCTTTAGTGAATGCAGGTATAACATCTGTTCCAGGAGTTGTCCAAAGATGGTCCTTTATTGGAAAATCCTCATAGTGTCTCCTGAATGGAAGATTATGCTGTACAGCAGGGATCTCCAAATTTGGCAACGTTAAGACTTGTGGACGTCAACTCCCAGAATCCCCCAAACCGCATGATCCCTGGCTGGGGAAGACCTGGAGATCCCTGCAGTACACTGTTGTTTGGCTCGCATTTGTGACTGCAGGAAAACGAATCACATTGTGACTTTTCAAGCTGGGAGAGCGATGAATGACTTTATTCATTCTTCTTTCTATCTTCAGGTACCTACTCAGATTGGAACTGCCCCTATTATGACACCTCAGCCTATGATTTACACCCAGACCGGTCTAAGGCCAAACAATCCTTTTGCACCTATCTCTGGAACACAGGTTTGTGGTGATTTTTTTTCCCCCTAAATGAGAATGTGAATGTTAAAATGTTTTGCTACTGGGATTTTGCCACAACCCCTTAAGTGTTTTGTTGATGGGTCCTTAGTTGGTTCAAGTTTTTGGGAAAGATTTTAAATAAGAGTTGGTTAGCACTTCACGGTGAGATTATGAGTGGATTTATAAAAGCAGTACATAGGAGAAAGAAACAATAGAATCCTAAGATCCCAGGAGACTCCAGGCGGAGCGAGAGAGAAAAAAACAATAACAAGTTAAAATCCTGCCTTTCACAATGGAGACAGCAAAAAATGATAGCAAGAAGTCAGATTCTATCTGACTGACAGATTGTGGAGCATTGGGTGAGGAACTGTAAGAAAACAAGTGGAGATGGTAGAAATGAACAAAACACTTCCAACACCTTTAAGGCAAAACGTGGAAAAGGAAACACATAATCAGTAACATGAATAGAATTGCAACAGACGTTAGATGTGAAAAACAGAAAGCAGCATTGGGTTGTGATAGATCTTGAAGTTGGCCTACAGGCTTGTTTTTCAGGATTGGCAGATGAATGTCAAATTCTCAATCATCCAGCTCATGATGGTCCCAAAGGTGCTTGTCAAAAGGCAACTGGACTTTCTTAGCTTGTTTTTCCTTGAAACATTTGCTTCTCATCCAAGAAGCTTCTTCAATTCTAATAGAGTTAGAACTTATGAAAGTGATATTTAAATTTTTAAAAATTGCGATTGTCTTTTTTTAGCAGTGGGTCTGTCATCATATGATGGTGCTAAGAACTACTGCAAGGGCAAAACATGTTAATGTTTGCATCTCTCATTTAACTCAATTCTCTGAAACTCCCAAATAACTTGAGTACTTTTGTTAATAGCTTTAATTTGACTTTGTTTCTTCTGTTACAGATTCAGTTTATGTAAATCTGCCAAAACAGCAAGATTATTTGACAACCAAATACTGGTAGAGAGAAGATGAAACTTTCAGACTGCAGCCTTTGCCAGAGCTCATACTTGCTCCGCGTATACTATAAAATTAATTTTAATTGCTGTGCTTTAGAGATTCTTTTTATAACAGTCCCTATGGTCTGAAATCATGTATGGGTTTGGATGGGGTCAGAATTGTTTTCCACGAGAAGTTTTAAGTATTTTGAAGCTAAAGGTCATCCAAGTTCAAAAAGAATGTCCTACTTCTTGTTGCTTTTAAAGACAAGCTTACTTAGGAATCCTTGGAAGGGTTTATCTTTAATTTTGAGCCTGTAATAAGCAAGCAGACAGCCTCAAACTTCTATTTATTTTCTCCCCGAAACTAATCATGGGCACTATAGAGCAAAGTTGAGCAATAAACCTTTGAGATACTCCGAAGGACTTGGACAGGAGTAAATCCCGTATTATGAGTAAAGCTGGTTATCTTGGGAAACCAAGCTGTTTTTCCTCATGTTAGGCTAGCTTCTTCTGATTCATGGATTTTGTACTGTGAGTTTTGAAACGCTGTAAATCAACTTTAATTAAACGGGCCATTAGCATTAATTGAATTGGCCATGAATGGAAAACAAATTAATTGGAATTCAAGCAGAGGGATAGTTTAGCCCAGCTGTAGGGCTACCCTTGGGCCAGGTCGGGGGTGCTGGAATAACGTATTCCTGAGCAGTGTGTGAGACTCTGTTGTGAATGGCCACAGCTGCAATACTTGATGCGAGTAGCATGGTTTTTGACTCTGGTGAGAGTTGACTTCTATCCTGGCTAAAAATAACAACAGCCAGTAAATGGTCAGCCAGATGTTGTAAGTCTGGGAGGTTGTATTTTTTCATTGTGCTTCATCACGTTCCGTGGTGCACTTTAAGAACCGGAAAGGTGGATTTCTGAACGGTCCATCCATGGCGTAGCTTAGTTTTTGTCAACGAGGGAGACAAGGAAAAGGTGCCCATCAACTACGTACGGTAACATTTTTTTAGGGGGAAAGAAGTGTAAATAATGTGTAAACCTTTAAGGACAGAGTTTCTCCAGAATTGCAGAATTTTTTTCTTGTTGTTTATCTTTGTAACATTCAAAATATGAATAATTACCACTTAAAGATACACAGCTCCAAATTTCTTTGGTATTGAAAAGCTCGAACTATTATTTCTGAAAATATGTGAGAGATTACTGCAGTTTAGGAGAGCATATGTAATGCAGCCTGATGGTCCATAATTTTCAACTCTCCTCCAAAACTGGTGATGGTGATGATGATGATAACAATAACAATAATGATAGATTAAATAGTATCATGGGATTTGATCTAGCTTATTCAGGATGTATTAACAGAGGGGATTGCAAGAAATTAGGATTTAAAATCCCTTTTTAAAATCAAAGAAGAGTTCTAATTAATAGAAGAATTGACTCCTTTATATCATTGCCAGGCTTCTGGTGTTGGGCCCGTTACCACAGCAATAACAGGACAAAGGATATCAAATATTGTTAGTGTGGTTCTTTTGTAGAATTTTCCCCTATTTGATCACATATTGTTAAAATACGGCAATTGACCTTGCTCTTTCAAGCATTTGCCAAATTGTGGGGTTTGTTCCTAGGAAAAAGGGATTTAAAAGCAAAGAAAATAAAAAAAAACATTTTTGCAGATCAGAATGTCAAATTCAGAAAACCATTTTTTCTCTATACGTGTCTTTTGTGTTTGTTAATATTGTGCCAAGAATGTAAAAAAAAAAAAAAAGCCTGCTTCAAAAAGGATATACTTGTTTTGTCAAGCTAAACATGATTTTTTAAAGGAAAGAATCATTTTTTACATATGTGTTTGCAATTTGTAACCACTAACTTTGTATGGATTAAATGTGCAAGTGGAAAAAAATGTTTTAGACCAAATCTTCGACATGTACTGACAAAGACGTAAACTGGATGCATGTAATTAAATGTGGAAAGTGAATTTTCAAGGGCTTTTGACTTTAATGTATTCTCCAGATTTGCCCCCAAACCAGTATTTATTTTGACCCCATATAGGCTGGAGCAATTTATTTGTGGGTTTTGTTTGAATTGATATTTTCATGCATTAATTTAACTAATCCTCATATATAAGATTGTACAAACTCGCCTTCCCATTGATTTTCACTCAATCCACTTTAGACCGGTATATGTGTTTTGAAATAACATAGGCTTTATAATAAATTAGAAATATTTTATCACAGACATTGTGATCATGTGAAGTTTAACGCCATAATATAAGCAGCAAGCTTTTTAACTCCCAGAGATTATTGTCTAATCATGGAATTTTAATGATGTTTAATTTATTATATTTACGAGCTGCAATCTTACAGCAGGGAACATCTTGCAATATCCATCTCATCAGAGAGAGAGAGGAAAGAGAGAGAGAGAGAGAGAGAGAGAGAGAGAGAGAGAGAGAGAGAGAGAGAGAAACTCTCCAGATGAAAGTATGTTCTTATGTTATTGCTTGATATAATATTATGTGTACTTACTGATTTTATTGTAATTATAGTAATTCATAATAATAACCACAATGTTCCCATTGCAACATATTGATGTATAAAATATCTAATATTTACAAATTCTTCCCTCTATTTAATGTCCAGTACAGTTCATAAAAATAGACTTTTAATTTCTCTGTAGCTTGTTACTTCCAGCTCAGCCACTGAAGATGCACAACCTATTGTGCCTGCAAAACTTTTAACCAGTTCACACACAACCTGTAGCAACCTCTTTCTCAGAAGGTACACATAAGATTGTATTCTCCTCACACCTTTCCAGTGATCTTCTAAATAAACATGGTATCCAGTTGACCCTGTGAATAACACTGTTCGTGAGCTGCAGTTGATAACATGATGATGTGTTTTTATGCCTTTGAACTGTGTGATTTCTATCAGGATCTCATCCCATCTTTAACAGGTTTAATTTGAGGCTTCTATTTTTATCATATCCAAGTCCTGGATGTGATTATATTTTAGCTGAGTTCGGACAATAAGCAATTTTGCTTTTGTTCTCTCAAGCAGCGGTGTCTGAACCACAGCTGTCCTTAGTTGTGTATCGGCTGTAAATATTAGCTTTGAAATTGGAATTAATCTCCAGTATATAGTTCTCTGGGTGATGTTTAAATAATATTGCTTAGTTACCAGACCTTTAATTAGACAAGGTGGGAGTTGTCGGTGTCTCCTGACCAGCCACTGTGTCCTGGAATTGCCCCCTCCCATTAAACTGGCACAAGAATGGACAGTGGAAAAATTGGCATCTGGACACTACGCCCTTGGTGGTAGTGCTTGTGACTGAACTGAAGAGCTGACTCTCCAGGACAGGAATTGCCTTCATAGAACAGTTTGGTAGAAGTACCCCTGCGTTGAAAAATTGGAGTCTTCCTGTCTCCCTGACGGTGGGTGCAGCACTGCAATTCCTTGTTGCAAGACTGCAAGATCTTTAAAAAAACAAACCCAAGTAGTAGACCTGGGTAAGTGGTCTATGTTAATTTTATTGCAAGTGTTTCTGCACCTTCGTGCTAGAAATTACCATTGCAGAGGCAACTGTACCATTTTCAACTTCCAGTTGGCTAAAGGTTGTTTACAGTGATTTTTAGTGTTGTTATAGTTGAATGGTCTTGACACGTTGGACAGTTAAGTGTATATGTTGTGCATACTTAAAACAGTCCCCTCTCCCTGATTTTATATATTTATTTATAGATCGAAGTGAACTTCCTAGAATGTTATCAATCAACTGTATCCCAGCCAAATCCAGGAACACTCCAATCTGAGACTTAAGCACATGAACTAACATTGTAATGCACCTGATTTCATATGCCTTAGGTTATCATTAGGGCTGGATAGACCTTCAGAAATAAATCTCAGTAGGTGCTTCGGAGTACAAATGCAACACCTGACTGCAACTCTGTAAAGCACTTGAGTTTGGAGGATTGTGTGGTGGCTCTCTGCTCAGGGCCTCAGGAAAAGACGGTGCTGCTTTAAAGAGGGACCAGGAAGTTCCATCTTTGTGCTCCTGAGTGCTCCACAGCAGTGCAGTATATGAAAATAATGCGTACAAAATTTTAAGGAGGAAAAATCATGTTCAGAATTGGCACTTGCCTATCCAGTATTGAACACGTTCTTGCAAATATACTGGTGATGCAAAGAAGATTAATATAATGTAATAATGAATGTAATATTTCACCCATGAACATTTTTTATTGCAAATTTTTCTAGTTCTCAAATGTTTGGTATAAGAGAAAGGATGCTTCCTGTTATGATCATTTTACACCAGTGGTGAATTTAAGGTTTCTATTTTAAAAAAAAAAGAAAAGGAAAACTAACCCAAAATAAGATGAATTTGCCTGTTTTATGCTACCCATTATTATTTACTGGGAAATCAGCCCAGTTAAGTCCAGCAGGCCTTATTTGCATGTAATCTCAGTCTGAAATTGGGACATCCTGTCAATACTTCTTTTATGAATTGCCAAAATTAAGATAGAAAGAAATGAACTGTAGATACTCAGATATTTATCAAAGGTTCTGCCTGTTGCACATACATACACTAACAAGGCCTTGTATGTCAACGTGATTTCTTGTTTCCCCCTTATAATAGTAACATTAGGATTTGGGTTTTTGATTTTTTCCAAAAGAAGCAGGATGAATCTGAAGATGGCTGGATGCTTGCTTGGGAACATTTGCACAGCCACAGCTCCATGTTAAGCTGTTAGGCAGAGCTGTGGACAATTGGACTGCGGTCTGGCTTTTAGGAAGTTGAGTGAGATTCTAGAAAATGCGGTTGGGCACGCCTAGTGTGTTATTTCAGCACCATGCACAGTGGCAACATCTCTCAGAATGCTGGGCATGTATGTGGTAGTATAGTCAGTCTTGGCATCCAGAAATGAGGTGACAGATAAGATATGCTCTCTCTTGCCTTCTCTCCTGTCTCCATGGGCCATCTTCTAGCTACCTTTGCCCCCTCCCCAACAGTTGCTCCCTGATGCTAGAAATTAACTTGGTGTAGAGAAATATCCTGCAGCTGGTGAACTGCCCAATACTAACATTTTGGGGCAAAGTCCTGTGTGTGTCTCCTGATTGGCATATGGCATGTTGGCATCCCAGTTGAGCTGCCCTTCTCATCCCACTGTTCTGCCTGGCTGGCCCTACACGAGGGGAAAGCTAGATTTTTGTCATACTTGAAAAAGTCTGTTCTGAATTGAAGATTCCTTTTTCTAAATAACACATTTTACAAAGAACAATAAATATTTTTAGTCCTCTGTATATAGTAAAGATAAGTACCATTTTTTAAGGCAAGACTATTTGGGGAGGGGGGGTGTTGAAATGTTATCTTTAAAATTGAATACGGGGTGTACGTACAGGAACTGGTTTTGCTTTTGTGGTTTGGTTTGCTCTTTTTTCAGGCGTGGTTTGAGAATTTGTTGGGATATCAGCTTTTGACTGGAATGCACTGTGGATCAGTGCTTTTATTTGTACAAGAAAGGGTAATCCTTTTTTTTTCCCTCAAGCAGTCTACATTTTTGAGGATAATGCTGAAATGCTTTGCATACTGCTTGCTTGCTTCCATTCTAAAGATTATATTTTTGAGTTAGGGAAACTATGTTTTCACTGCAGTTTCTAGAAAATGTTTAGAAATAGAAAGGTTGCTTCTGATTCTGGTGTACTTTGACGTTTTGATTGTCAGGTACCGATTGAAAAACGTATTGTGTCACTCATTTTCTCTATGGCTGTCTGTCACTCATTTTAAATATTGTAATAACTGGTGCAGTCTTTCTTCTCCTTTTGTCCTAGTCTTTCACAGTTGTTTCTATAGTATTCTCCAAAACGGATAAATCTTTGGGTGTATTTGTATTCGTGTATCCAATGGTTGTAGGATTCAGAGCAGGGATGGGGAACTATGGCCCCTTTATGACCCGTGGACTTCAGCTCCCAGAATTCCTGAGCCAGCCCTGCAGTATCGTTAAATCTGATTTTGTTTCCCCCCCCCAAGTATTTTGCTACGAAAGCCGTAGAAGGCTTGCAGTTTAGCTAAGCTTTAAAGCAGATTTTAGGCCGTGTGTAGAGTTGGACTCAGACGATAGTAGTGGCATTTGAATCCTGCTGAAAAAGATTGTAATGTGATTCCCATTTAAACAGGTAAGAGTGAAATGAAAGTAACTTTGTCTTCATCTAACCCACCAGGCTGAATTAGTGGAGCAGACGTCCATCAGCAAGCTTGCAGTGGGGAGCTTTTGAATAGTTTTCAAGATGGTGCTACTTCTCAGCACCCTTTACTGTTCCTCATATTTATGGGGGCTGCTGGGAACTGCTGTTGAGCAACATCTGAAGATCCCCATCTCGGGTACTCTGTTCACTTGGGAAGGCAGGGGCAGCTTCAGCTTTTGTTGCGTATCTGGCAATTGACAACTGTTTGAGCTTCTCTATCTAGATCAGACATGTCAAACACAAGGCCCGGGGCCTGGATGCGGCCCGCGAAGTGGTTTCATGTGGCCCGCAAAGCCATCCTGGAAACAGTGAGGAAACGGCCCCCGCTGCCTTGGCCCTGGCCCAGGCCAGCCTGGAGCCAATGTACAATTTTGTGGTGGTCATCTATGCTGAAACACATTCAGTCTTAGCTCCACGAGGCCATCTGGAAACAGCAAGGATCACTTGCCCTTGTCCCACCCCCTTCTGCCAGAGACCCTCAGATCTGTCCCACTCCTGCCCAGACCCCCACAGGCACCCTTGACGCGAACGATGTAGAGCTGGCCACGCCCATCCAGTAGGCCACACCCACTCCATGCCCACCCAGTAGGCCTCACCCACCCTGGCCACACCTACCCAGCCCCTCGAGGGCAACCGCAATGCTGATGCGGCCCTCAATGAAAGTGAGTTTGACACCCCTGATCTAGATCATGGGTGTCAAACTCGCCATGTCACGTGACGTGTTGCAAGGTATCGTGACTTTTTTTTTT